TATAATTTTTTTTAAATTTGTGGTTGTAGATGGACAGAATGTCTTTATTTTATTTGTTTATTTTTATGTGGTGCTGAGGATGGAACCAAGTGCCTCTTGCAAGCTAGGCATGCACTCTACCACTGAGCTAAAGCCCCATCCTTGACACCTTAATCTTTAATGTGCAAATTACCCTTGGCCCTGGGCATTGCTTCTCCTGGTTCTTGGTTTGTTGCTGACAGCCAGGGCTCATGACCTTTTCAGACAAATTTTGTTAAGAGGCAAATGCTTTCAGGAGCCCTCCAGCCTTGAAGAAGTAATGGCTTAAGCAGGTCTTGAATCAAAACAACCACATCTAAAATGAAGTTAGTTATCGTACATCATAGATTTCAGGAGAGACTTTGGCCTCCATACCTTCCTGTTCTTGAGCCCTGTGCTTTGGGACACAAATGACTGATGTGAGGGTGGTAGGTAAGCCTAGAGAATTCCTGAGTAGGGAATTAAAGCATGTTGTCATTTCAGGTGATTGACTGAGAGCCATGTTGCAAAGAAAGACTACCTTTATATGTATGTAGATAGCCATGAAAAAAAAATATATTTATTTTATAGGCCCCAGATCCATCTCCTTAAAGGACAATGTGCAACAGAAGTAGATTTGACAGGCTCATAAATGCATGTGCTCAAGTGAGGATTTAAAAATATATTTTCTGAGGAGTACTCCATGTTCTTAGGGATTTGGTCACTTATGTTAAGGCTTAAAAACAACAGTGGAATTTTCCTTTGCTGATATATACTGGTTTGTGGTGTGGGGACTGAGCCTCATGTATGCAAGGCAAGTAATCTACCATTGAGCTATGCCCCCAGCCCTGCTCCTACGTACTTTAAAAACTCACCCTAACCTGTTAGTCATTAGGGATGTGCGCCTGTGTGTGTGTGTGTGTGTGTGTGTGTGTGTGTGTGTGTGTGTGTATGTTATGGACAAGGCAGCATCATCTCATAGCATTCCTATGTCATTTTGTTCTATATCTTCAGTTCTTGGTGTTACTTTTAAATGTATCAAGAAATTTATTTTGTCAATGTGTAACATCTGCGAATATCCCAAATATTGATATTTTGATTTGCATCATTTGTAATCATAAGAAAACATTTTTCTTTTTCTCTCAGGGATATTTGGTCTTCTGTTTCAGTCTCCCCCATCTGAATTCTAAAGTCATCTGATTAGCTAATTATTCATTATATACTGCAGATTATTGGCATGGGGATTCTGTTAAAATTCATTTTGATAATATTTTTAAAATTATCTATTTAAAAAGGTGTGCAACATGATGTTTTGATATACACAGTGAAATGATTACTACAGTTAAGCCAGTCTTTGAACGTTTAAGTGAATGCAGTACAGATTTTTCAGGACTTCCCCTTTTAAATAGTAAGAAATCAGATTTTTATTTCTTGATATCAGTAGAGGAAGTGAGTAATTTTTCAATTGGCTTTGAGTAATAAAGGACAGAAAGACCTAAGTAATCATTTGTTAAGTATCAGCTGTGCGCTTGGTACTTGTTAATTTCTGGAGGCAAACAATTAGATTTTTAAATGTTGGTAAATTGTTTTAAGTCAAAGAGTTCAACTGTGAATTTTAAAATGCTTTATGTTGAAAAAAATTTAAAGTATAATTTCTATTTATATTGAAGTGATGCTTCAATTTGAGAGGGGTGTTGTTAAATATTTAAAAAATACATATAAGCTGGTATAATCATAAACTATTTCTGGAAGGGCATGCAATAGACTAGTAATATTAGTTTCCTTGGGAGGGAGGAACTAGCTGGACATGAGATAGGAGTGGGAGGGTGATGTCACTGTATACCCTTTTATGGTTTTTGGTTTTTGAACGATGGAAGTGGAATCACCTGATAGTGTGTCCATGTCTCCATTCTGTGTCACTTGTGATGGTATTTTAAGGTGTTCCTCAAATCCCTCAATTTCACACCCACTTCCCCCTGTTTAAATCACATGTTATCATTTTTCTGTGCCCTTTCAGTTCCTGAGATGGAGATAAAATGGGGCAAGAGTTTCCTTCCTCTCCTCCTTATTATTCCCATTGTCCCCAGGGAAGAGCTGATGTTTACTTCAGGAGAGGTATGCCCAAATAGACCCTGTTGTAAATGCTTGCTGGGATGCAAAGGAGGTGAGAACAATAGGAGACATGTTGTGCAAGCTTAGCATTTAAACAGAAAGGAACTCCTCTAATCAGCAAGGTACAGTTCTAAGCTCTTCTGCTAGACCATAGGTGGAGGCAGCTACAAGAAAAGAGTCCCTCCAGTGAGGTTGAAAGCAGCCCCCAGACCCTACCATGCCAGCTGCAGGCATGGGGCAAGGCATCAGTCTGGTACCAGTCTAACCTGTTTTGTCAGGCCAGGGAGCTCCGAGCTGGCTTTGTATGTGATTGAAGTGGCATCCTATAGTTACTGAGCCCCGCATGTCTGCACAGCAGAAACAGTAAGTGGTTGAGGTATGGAAGGGTGGCATAAACAGGCTTTGTCAGTAAACTGTGATTCTCTCTTAAGTGTATGATAGTTCTACTTCCTCCACGATATTTGTTTTTTTTTTTGGTGACAACTGATATGGGTTCAAAATATCCACAAGACCCCACCACCTGCTTCTCACTTCCCCTTCCTCCACTCCTATCAGTTTTCTGAGGACTTGTTGATTTGCCCCTCTGGGTTCTGTGGATCCTGGGCTCATTGCTGCTCTGTTGCTGGGTTGGAGCTGGATTGCTAAGCACAGCTTGGGAGTGGGTTCCTAGGGTAAGTCTCAGAGGGGAAAATATAATTCTTTGAAATAACAAGAAATTAACATTTGAGCCTGTGAATAAACATTTTAGAACCACCGTCTTCCTGCTTAATCAGAATTCCTCCCCGTCCTTTTTAAGGAGCCCCTCACTTTGGCCCCCATTTGGGGCAGCTATGTATGGTCTTGCTTTGGTATCTTTTACCTCTGAATTCAAATGGTAGTCTTGTTCCTTATAAAGCTTGAGCCTTTGTTTCCTCTTTGGGAAAATGTAGATAATGTTACTCAACTCAAAGGATTGTTAAAGTATTGTTGAGATATTGGGTCAAGGGTAGTGTCTGGCACTTAAGCACTTGGTAAATATTAGTTCCCATTCTCACTTTTGACTTTGTTCATTTTTTTCTGGTGTGGGGATTGAACCCAGGGCCTTGTGCATACAAGGCAAGCACTCTACCAACTGAGCTATGTCCCCAGCCCTCACTTTTGACTTTGTGATTCTTTGGCAAGCTATGCTACTTGAGGTTTGTTCAGCAGAGGCCCTCTGTGATTTTAAAATGCATTAGGACACAGTGGGAGTGAGGAGAATTGTGTGTTTTTGGTGGCCTATTTATTAATACCTAGAAAAAGATCTACAATGTTCCTACTCCCCCCTTTTATCCAACAGTTTCAAGACTTGCACTTTATCCTTCAGAAGTACTTGCATTGTATTATATAGACAGCTGTTTTAGTCAGCTTTTTCACTGGTGTGACCGAAAGAGCTGACAAGAACAATTTTAATGGAGAAAAGTTTATCTATTGCTCAGGGGTTCAGAGATCTCAGTTCATAGATTGCCGGCTCCATTGCTCTGTGCCTAAGGTGAGTCAGAATGTTAGGGCAGAAGGTCATGATGGAAGAAATTATCTCAGGACATGACAGTCAAGAAGCAGAGAGTGAGTTTCCCTCACCATGGACAAAATGTATATCCCAAAGGCATAGCCCCCAGTCCTCCAGCCACACACTGCCTGCCTATAGGTACCACCCA